GGCTTTGGAAATTTACCTTCTGCGTTTTGGATGGAAGAGTGCTTGCTTTTGATGAGTGATTTCATGAGTGTCAGAGTGTCTGCAAACCGGATGGAACTGATGGAACTGAGCTCCGCGATAAAATTTTCGCCACCGTTCCGAAGAAGTATTAGAATATCAAATGTGGCGGCGTTGTGTCCAGCCAAGATTGTGCAAACGGGCTTTGTGGACCGTGTTGAGGCTGAATCTATGCTGGCCCTCAAAAAAGTTAAGAACTGCCTAAGTACTTGCGATAACTCAAAGGCTTCTACTAGTCGATTATCTTTGAAAAGTCGGCGGATTCCATTGGCAGTTTTAACTGTAAGTTTGTTGACCTTTGACGCATGAGAATCTGTCTCTGGTTGGTGGAATATAGCACGAGAATTGTTTACCTGACCTATCCATGGCAGCGAGCTGACATCCTTCTGCTGATTTTCCAGTTGAATTTGTCTCGATGTCAAATAAAACAAAGTGATAAAATTTACTGTCATCAAATGTTTCCTTTTGAACTGTGGGTCTCGAAGTGTATTTCGGAACTGCATTTTCGTACTGTTCTTGTTGTTGTTCCGTGATAGCAGCGGTTATATCTTAAAGATCAGCAATTGAAAGTTCAGAATTGTTCAACTCCAATGTTGTCGCAGAAGAGTTTAGGTTCAGGCCAATGCCACTTTCATACATGGTACCTTCTTTGCCCTCATTTTTCGAGGTTTCTGAAATCTGGTGTTTGTGTAATTGTGATCGACGTCGCTTGAATTCAACTGGTTATTTCCTTTGTTTGTCCTTCGAACTTTTCTTGTCCATTTTCGTATTATGGTCTACACAGAAAAGACCTGGCTCTATGTTAAGTGACGCTAAGGTTTGAGGAATGTACCTGTAACCTAAATTTACTTGAGAGACACCGCAGGACAATCGATAATCACTGCTTTCACTTCCCCCTTTAAAGCGAATTTTGGGGTTCTTCGAGCCCACCACACTGTTCAGAGACACGTTACGTTGAGAATTTGCTGCAGGTGCAAGTTTGTTTATAACAATGTCTATGCTATATTCATTAAAGAGAGATTCCAGGGCTGATTGAAGGCTATCTCCTTGGAGGTCTTTGCCATAGGGAAGATCTCTGTGACAATAATGAGAAGGATCTATCGATACCATGTTTCTCTACAACCATTATGGTCACCAAATGCATGAGGCACAATGCTTTGAATTGCAGATTTCATGTTTGTAGCATCCCCCTTATTTTGTGCAATACAGTATGTAAAGGATTTGACAAGGTAATTTATGACTTTCTGTGACAACACTGAACTGTTGGGGAACTTACTTCGTTGGTTCAAGTTGTATAGGCGTGTTGTAAGGGATCTTTTTATGTGAACTGCGTCACTCCATTTTTCCACACCATAGGGTACCTTTTGCTTTAGGTGAGATTCACTCATTGAATAATCATCCCCGGTGTAAATTGAAAATTTGAAATTTGACTTAGTTACCTTATTGAAAAGTTCAACTGCAGCTAAAGGCTCCATTGACTTTGAAGAGCCTGAATGATTTTTTCTACAGTCGTGGTCATTTGGTTGTTTTCCTGCCTTTTTAGCTTCATCACAGGAGCGGCACATTTTATTTTTTGTTTTGTAGTCAAGGATCTAACCAGTTAAAAGGCCCATGACTGCAGCATGTTCGGTCTTAGAGTTGAAACCTCGCCCCCGTTTCTGCCACCCCATGTTGTAAGAACAGGCAATAGGTACCAAATTGTTCTGGTCAGGCTAGTTACCATTTTCAATTGCCTCCTCTCGTTCAAGGTTACGGAATTGCTGGCAACTACTTTTTGCTTCTAACCCTATTGCCTTTCCAGCTTCCCTTTCCTGGTTTTTAAAAGTTGATGAGTTCAGTGCAGGCACAGTGAGGATTGAAAGTAAATTGTTTAAATGGGTGTTGCCCACTCCTGTGTGTAAACAGCCAAGGGCAGCTCTCGTGTTCACATCAAAGGTCAATGGACCGCGTGCACCAGATCTGTGCTCTTTTGATGTTTTAATGGTGTTTTCCGCGTTGCATTGGCTGCATATAACAGTAAACGTGCTTGCCAAACCACTGTGCTGTTCTTCAATAACATTGCCAAGAGACAAAGGGCCTAAAAATATCGTAAACTACACTGTAAACTAACAGGGAAAAAAGACTCCATCCACAATATTTGTTATGTTCTTTTATATGATAAGGGTGTAAAATATGCTATAGTGCAGTTAAAAATAGTGAGAATTTACCGTAATGACAAAATGAGCATTCCTTCAGACCATCTGTACGGGTTTCTAAGTCCACCAGTCTGGATCCTTGTGGCAGGTTCGCCTTCCTCTTAGCTTTATTCTGCTGATGGGAATCAGGGTTGGAGTCAACAGAACAGGTAGACCGATAATTAGGACAAGCTTGGCAGGAAAATCTTACCAAAAATTAAGACCTCCGAATAAAGAAAAATGTACTGACCTCACGTGCTCGTGTCATTCGTTTTGCTGGGGGTTCGTTTTCCTTGGATATGTTGTCATACTGGAGCTTCATTTTGGCATTCCACGTTTTGAACCCTTCGTGTAACCTTTCTACTTTTGTTTCTTTTTCTGGTTTCGATCGCTTCCACTTTCCGAAAGCGACCTGACGCATTACGGATGTTGTGTAGGCGTTGTGTAAACTTCTGGTCTTTCACTGTCAATATTGTGCTCATTACTGGAAAGTATCGATGCCGTTTCACTCTCGTCAAGTAAACTTCGCGATTATGTGACAAAAATTGTGCACTCGCGTGAAGCCGCGTGATGCCATTTAAAAGCTCGCGCCATTTTCGTACCTATTCTTCGCCCGGCCAAAAAACCCTATTGAGCCACCTTAAGTTGCCTTAAGTTGCCTTAAGTGTCCCTGTCTGAGAAAGTGTTCCAGGGGTCAGAAGTGGTGGTCAACCGATTCGACTGAAACTTGGCACAAAAGTTGAGTGTGATAAGATATTTCAAAAGCCACTTTGGCTCACTTCTCTAACTGTTTGTTCTGGAGTTTAAGGGGGGTCCCATTTGTGGCCTGTGGAGCACCAAAAATTCATCTTTCTAGTTGGCATTTTGAAAGTGCTATAAAACTCCATTGGTAAACTGTGCTATCAAACGAATTTGACCATGGACTCTACTATAGTGGAGCTTTTACCTCCTTAATATAACTTTGTTCTCAAGTGATTAGACAGAGAAGGGGCCTGGGGCTAACGTTAGGTCAAATTTGGGGTCAAAATCATTACCCAAAATTGCCATTTCTCAAAAATCCATAGCTCTCACCTTTCTTTTTGCATAGCTTTCATACCAAATTCAGTATGTACTTTAGTGACCCATTTATCAAAATCAGTTGAGAAAAGTTTGGCTTTTTGAGGTTTCTTAGATTTTTGGCACAAACTCTCCATGCCCCTCTGAGGCCTAGCAAAATGGAGTTTTGAGCATGATTCATGCTATAAACAGACCAAATTCTTGACATAAGGCCTTTATTTTGTATTAGGTGAGTGAAAATTAAACACTAAAGCCAATGCAGTGTCATTATCTAGAAATACCACGACTTATAGCTTACAAACTCACTAAGAAGGCCTCTGATTAGCACTACATACACCCGGGTTTAGCAAATAAAGGTAAGTTTTTTTCTTTGAATATCAAGTACCCATCATAGAGCACAACTTCGCTCCGACGAAGGGCTAACGCTCGAAACGTCAGCTTTTGTAATCATTACGGTGGCCAATTTACCATTTCAACTTTGTTGATATATCCAAATTATTTCGTTACTCCCACCGACGCAGCCCCAAACAGTTTCTTTCGAAACTATCAGCCTTTATTCATAGAGCACAACTGATGATGTTCTCACCTAGATACGACAATCCTTTTTAGAGATGCTTGAATTTCCTCTGAATTATACTTTTCAGGTCATATTTCCATACATACTTTACTCACAAGCATGCAAAGTCTCTCTACTTTGTCCGACCCATTTATTGATGTAGTACGAAGTGAGCTTAACGAAAACGACCGTTAACAGAAGATATACGGTTAAAATTTTGATAGCCTTGCTAGCTCTTGTAAATACGCATGATGCCATCAGTGAAAGAGCAGGATGATACATACAAGTCGTAGTGAGTAGCGTCCAGGTGACTTGTGATCCATTCGATTTCCCTGGTACGCTTATGAAGAAGCAGTAAATATAATAATGTGAAGGTGTAAATATAATAATGTGAAACGTCAGTCACTGCCACCGACAACAGTCCTTCTCAGGACTACAATCACCCGGACGATCAGACTACACCTTCACATGTTACCCCCGGGTTCAAACCATTTACTGAAATATAATAATATTAATAAATATTAATATTAAATATTAATATAATAATCTTAGGAACTCAACTGTATTTTAGACAACATTACAAACAATGGTTGTCGTGTTCAAAACGAAGCGAAAAACGTGTTCAGTACTTTTTCCAGGTCAGGTGACGTAAACAATGACGAAACTACAATACAATCATAACCGCTGACTGGGAGTAACTCGAAACTAAATAAACGTTCATAAACACTGGTCAAACTATTTCACATCCTCCGTAGGCGCGCAAATGTCTTTAGCCCAGTCTGCAGTTCTCCTGATAACCCGTTGTGTTGCTTCTCTTTGTTGTCTTCTCACAGGGGTGGGAGTTTCGGCTGTGGTTGTTTCTTCTTCTGTGCGACACTGTATTTCTTTGGCTTGAACTTCTAGAGGGTGCAATCTCGTTATGGAGCGATTTGTTTTTCCATTGGCGGTACGTAAATTGGCGGAACGTACAAGTCCATCGTGACCTCTGTTGATGGATGTGACAAATGCTAGTTTCCAGTTTACTCTTGGGCTTTCATCGTGGATGAGAACTACATCGCCAACCTTCACAGATTCTATGTTGACTCCTGAACTCTTGTGGAATTCTTGGAATTCTTGCCAAAAGTGTTGAATTAGTAAGGTGATACGTTTTGCTTTCTTCAGGAAATCTGTGTTTTTGTTTGGTAGGTGGAATCATTGAATTCATCATTGTCTACTAGTGCATGCGGTAGTGATGTTATTCGTCGATCATAAAGTATATTTGCAGGGGTTAATGCCTCTTCATCCTTAATGTCTGAAGAAACATAGGTCAGGGCGCGATCGATAAGAATTTCCTCCACTTCAAGAACAATCGTCTGAAGAGTGCACAGGTTGACTGCAGCTCTCCCGAGTACCTTCTTATTGGTGGACTTGGTAAGACCGACGACGAGGCGTTCCCAAAGCCCGCCGTACCAAGGCGCCTTCTTGGGGATGAATAACCATTCAATGCCTTCCTTTGCAAGTGTTTCCTTGAGCGTATGAGATTGAAACAGTTCTTTTAGTTCATTGCTCGCTGATACAAATGTTGAGGCATTGTCAGATATTAGTTTCCTTGGAACAGATTTGCGACTTGCGAATCTGCGAAAGGCGAGTAAGAAAGCTTCAACAGTCAAGTCTTCGACAACTTCAAGGTGAAGAGCTCTGGTTGTTGCACACGTAAATAGGCATATGTAGACCTTTGTTTCAATTCCAGCGTTTCGAACATACAGAGCTCCGGTGTAGTCCACCCCGGTGACTTCAAAGGGTTGTGTTTGTTGCATTCTTGATTTGGGATGGGGTGGTGGATCTGGTTGATTGTAGGCTGATCCTGAAACCTTTCTACAGGTTAAACATTTGTCAATTAAGGTTTTGACGCGTTGTCGGCCAGAAGGAACCCAGTAACTCTGGCGCAAGGCAGTGAGTGTTGAGTTGACACCTGCGTGAAGCTGCTTGACATGGGTGGAGTGAATTACGAGATCTGTGAAACGGTCTTTGCTTGGTAATAGCACAGGAAATTTGGTGTTGTCACTTAAGGGTGCGTTGTGTATCCCCCCGGCACAGCGTAGAAGACCGTTGTCATCAAGGAATAGGCCAAGTTGACGTACCAAGGTTGTACGGTATCGTGACTTTGAGAGGAGATTGTCAACTTGAGCATGAAAGACAACAGATTGACGATTCTTCATCCATACTGTCGTAGCACGATCATATTCCATTGCTGTAACTGGACCTTGTTGGCTGAATTTCCTTTGGAGAAGCGGTACAAATCTGAAAACATAGGCTGTAATGCGTAGAAGTTTTGGTAAACTACTGAAATCCGATGGATTGATCAGGCGATGAAGGCCACGTTGTTGAACTGGAACTGTGTCATTTGTAGTAGATTCATCTGTAGAGGTTTCAGTGGCTAATAAGTGGAAAAGTTCTGCGGTAGGCCATGAAGGCCACTGAGATCTATTGGGCAGCCATGTGGGACCATGTTTCCACAGTAAAGAGGTCTTCAGTTGATGTGCACTTATCCCTCTTGTGAGAAAATGGGAAGGATTTTCATCGGTAGGGCAGTATTTCTAGTTGGAAATTGATGTCAATTTCTTTATTTCTTGAATGCGACTGCTGATGAATGGCTTCAACAACTTAGTACTTTTGAGCCAATGAAGGACAATTTGGCTGTCAGACCACAATGTGACTCTGGTGACTTGTAGTTGCACTTGAACATATGAAGCTAAACGTGCAGCCGTTAGGGCTGCCATAAATTCAAGTTCTGGAAAAGTGAGTTTCTTCTTTGTTGGGGCGACAAGTGACTAGGTTCCTCGTACTAAGTAAGAGGCGGCTCCATAGGCTTTCTGACTTGCGTCAGCGAAAACCCGTACTTCAGTATCACTGTTATCGATAGAGATATCAGAAGTTCATATATTTTGAACTGCGGTATTAGATACGTATGATGTGCGATCCTCGCCGTAGATAGCGCTATTTATGCATTAGCGAAAATCAGACCTGAAAAAAATCAGGCCTGTACGGGACTCGAACCACTGACCTCTGTTTTTCGCTATTGCATAAATAGCGCTATCTACTGCGAGGATCGCACATCATACGTATAATAATGTTAGGAACTCAACTGTATTTCAGACAACATTACAAACAATGGTGGTCGTGTTCAAAACTAAGCGGAAAACGTGTTCAGTACTTTTTCCAGGTCAGGTGACGTAAACAATGACGAGGCTACAATACAGTCATGACCGCTGACCGGAAGTAACTCGAAACTAAACACTGTTCAAACTATTTTACAACGTTAAAGCTTAATAAATCAAATCCTCCGACAGTAAAAAAGAAATCCACAGTTAGAAGAGCTGGATAACAAATATTTTGTGTTGCAGTTTATGTGAAACATGCCACGCAACACCTCGAGATGCAATTGTTATTATATCGACGCACTAGCCCATCATATTGGACGTGAGAGTTAGAGGACTGGACCAAGTCGTGGATTCACGCACCCTTCACTGAGTTTTAAGTAACACGGGTTTGTCGACCATCACTTGCGGTAATCACAGGAACTTGCTAACCGTAGAAGAGGTTCATAATACGAGGGCTTTGAATTAGCACTACCTATAATTTCAACGTTGAAAAACCCGCACAATGACGGTGGTTGACTGAGTTTTTGCTTTTGAAACACCTTGGCTAATCTTCCCTTGGCATAGAGTTCGCGAAAGTTGAAATCTTCATGAAAAAGAGATTTGGAAAACAACAAGACTATTTCTGAAACGTGTGTACTAAGCCCTCTTCATAGGAAAACAATTAAGGAAAATTTTTTGGACGGAAAGTTAAGAGGACCGCTCTTAGTGAGAGTGGCACTTGAAAAGCCATCTGTTACATTACTGCGCGTGTATGAGCCCTTTGTTATATTTTGAATTACCTGTAATTGTAGTTTTGGTATCACCCGGTCTTCCTCTCGGCCGGACGTACCTGATCCCTTGTACTTGTGTTTTAACCAAGCAGTCATGTCATCATCGCGAGACAACAAAGGAGTCATTCTTGTTTCGTGCAGAGCCCATGACAAGGCACCGCACTAATCATTTACTTCAAAGGAACAAAGCGCCATCGTAAAATTCTCCTGAGACTTTTTATTGCTACACTTTAAATAACTGATAAGGACACAAACATTTACGCTCGAATAGGGGGAGGGATGGAAACTCAGTCCAGTCCTAATACTCTCACGTCCAAAATGGCGGGCCCTATTGGCATCATCTCATGTCTCTTGAGAAATATTTCATTTAAACAGCAACAATAATCTTTTGTCATCCAGCTCTTCCGACTGTGGATTTCCTCTTTGTTGGATAGTTCCATTTATTCAGTTCTAAAGTACTTAAGATCTCTGGTGGATCACAAGTCACCTGGAAGGTGCTCACTGCTGCACGTAAGCTTATGTATGCATGTTCATCAGTGCTCGCGTAGTGATGGGTATTTGCGAGAGCTATTCAGCCTATTCAAAGGTCAGACGTGAATAATCTTTTAACGATCGTTTTATTCTTAGCTTAATGGTTAAGGCCGGGTTAAGGTCACTTTATTTTCAAGTAAAAAACGGCCTGACAAAATACAGAGACCTTGTATGCTTGAAAATATGGAAATATGGCCTAACAAACATAGATCAGAGAAAATTCAAGTATCTTTAAAGAAAATTGTAATTTCTAGGTCAGAACATCATCATTCGTGCTCCATGGTGGATACAAGGTTTTCATTTATTATTCTACTTTATTTTGCTAAGCCGCTAGGCGTTTGTAGCGCTAATCAGAGGCCTTCTTAGTGCATTTGTAAGCTATGAGTCGAGGTATTTCTAGATAATGACACTGATTTGGCTTTGATGTTTCATTTTCACTCACATAATGCAAAATAAAGGCCTTACGTCAAGAATTTGGTCTGTTTATGCTCAAAACTCTATTTTGCTTGGCCTTAGAGGGGCATGAAGAGTTTGTGCCAAAAATCTAACAAACCTCAATAAGCCAAATTTTTCTCAACTGATTTTGATAAATGGGTCACTAAAGTACATACTGGATTTGGTATGAAAGTTTTGCAAGAAGGCAGGTGAGTGTTATGGTTTTTTTAAAAAATGGCAATTTTGGGTAATGATTTTGACCTCAAACTTGACCTAACGTTAGCCCCAGGGCCCTTCTCTGTCTAATCACTTGAGAACAAAGTTATATTTAGGAAGTAAAAGCTCCACTATAGTAGAGTCCATGGTAAAATTTCTTTGGAAGCATAGTTTCATAGCACTTTTAAAATGCCAAGTAGAAGGATAAATTTTTGGTGCTCCACAGGCCACAAATGGGAACCCCCCTGAAGCTCCGGAACAAAGAGTCAGAGAAGTGAGCCAAAGTGGCTTTTGAAATATCTTATCAAACTCAACTTTTGTGCCAACTTTCAGCCGATCCGGTTGACCACCACTTCTGGCCCCTGGAATACTTTCTCAGACAGGGACACTTAAGTCGCAACGTTATAAGGGTTTATAATTATAATTTATAATTTACCAATTTATATAGCGCATATGAACATGTTCTGATCAATAGCGCTTATTGTTAAGGCTGAGATCGGACGTCAGCATATCATGAGGCGCCTCTGGCAGCTGCCTCAGTCCATGTAACAATTTCGACTTCCCACCCATCCCCCAAATACCCACCCATCCCACCCCAGGGGAGGACATCCACCACACAGTTATCTCGTGCCGAGGAGACTAGAATATCTATCCATTTCTTTATATTATAGAAAGGTAGCAAATTCTCCTCAGTTATTTTAAGACCATGAGTATTGATCGGGGTGGGGCTCGAACCCTCGACCTCCCGCGCATCACAATCCGGTGCTCTAACCAACTGAGCTAACCGGGAGGAAGGTTCCACCCTAATCCCAATTGACCCCATTCACTACAGTCTAATCATAAGGATCAGAGGAGGAGGCATGGTGGCTGAATGGTTAGTGCACTTATTCCCTAATCTCTATGAAGGTTTAAATTCCCTCTTCTTATTCTCACACCATGCTTTGCATCTCTTTGATTACCTCACCTACGAATTCACGCCCAGGATCAACCTGAATAGTTTTTAGTCATCTCAATAATCCTCTCTTATGAATTGTCTGAAAAGCTCTTGAGAACTCAGAAAAATGTTTTGAGGTGAGAGGTTTCAGCGGCCTTGAATCTGCTCCAAACGTCAACAACTGTCAATTTATACTTCCTCTTGGGAGTGTGTCATATAAAAGGATAAGAAGATCAGCTCGATGAAGTGTATTTGGAGATTCAACAACAAAAGTTAGTCTTAGGATATGCTTCAGGGCAGGTAAATAAGTCTACCAGATGACTTGCATCATCCGCCGATCGCGAAGTTTTTCAACGACGGTCTTCGGTCAAACCAGCTTCTTTAACCAGCTTCTGGTTCCAATACCTTTCTAAATCCGTTTGGATCATAATAACCTCTTGAAAGTTTTCTTTCTATTTTCTAAAGTGTTACAAGGATCGGAATTGTCTAGAAAGTTCGCGAAGGTCAATGTCACGCAATGTGTTGTTTCAAGAATTTTCTAGAACTGTGACACATCAGTTTAAAAATAGAGTTTATTGCAATAATTATAAATAGTTACTATTGTAATGGTTATAAAAAGTTACTTTTGGAAACTTCTAGACTCTCTTCGGATGCTTATATAAGCAGCTCGCTAGTCAGGTTGTTGTTGTGATTTGGGACTTCGTTCCCTGTTTGTGATCTACAAGCGATATTGTGTGACACAGAGAAGGACAGTACTTTGCTTGCTATATAAGCAGCTCGCTAGTCAGGTTGTTGTTGTGATTTGGGACTTCGTTCCCTGTTTGTGATCTACAAGCGATATTGTGTGACACAGAGAAGGACAGTACTTTGCTTGCTATATAAGCAGCTCGCTAGTCAGGTTGTTGTTGTGATTTGGGACTTCGTTCCCTGTTTGTGATCTACAAGCGATATTGTGTGACACAGAGAAGGACAGTACTTTGCTTGTGGTCAGATAAGCGTAGATAAGTACATAGTTAATTTTAGTTGGATTGTTCCAAGAGTGGTCGCTAGCTCGTGTCAAGTTACCTCCCGTTGTTTACGGTTAAATAAATTGTGTTTCGCGGAAATAGCGAGGTTGTTATCTTTCTGCCGGTAATCAGTTACCGTAACAGATATTGGGGGCCTGTCCGGGAGCGAATTTTACAGAAGAATATTTAGAGTAGAAGTTACTGTCCGGGAGCGAATTTTACAGGAATATCTCGAGTAGAAGTTGTTCGTGAGTGGAATATAAGTGGAGCCGTATTTAAGCGTTTACCTTGGGAGTATTATAGTATTCAGTAATCTTATTAGATAAGCTTAAAGATGACGGATTTTGATCCAGAGACTCAGTCCCAAATCACAACAACAACCTGACTAGCGAGCTGCTTATATAAGCATCCGAGGAGAGTCTAGAAGGTTCATGTCAGAACCTTGTGAGGACACGTTTTACGACTTAAAGAAGGACGAGCTGATTTCGTAGCGAAACATTTAGAGTTAGAGGTTAAGAAAGCAATGCGCAAACACCAGATTCAGGATATCATTGTTAAACATTTGGTCAATTAACAAGTTTTCAAAGAGACAGTTTTAGAAACATTTGAAACGTCTGATGCGGAGTTAAAGAAACTACAGCTTCAGTGGGAGTTTAAAAAATTAGAAATGCAAGAGGAAAGAGAAATGTAACTGAAAAGAGAAGAAATGGAGAGACAAGAAAGACTGAAGATAGTAGAAATGGAAAGACGAGAAAGACGGGAAGAAATGGAGAGAAGGGAAAGACTGGAGAGAGAGGAAGGACAAGAGAGGCTAGAGAAAGAGAAATTGGCATTTCAGCATGAAATGGAAATGAAAAAGTTAGAGGTACAAATGCAATTAGGATTAGTCTCGGGTAGTGAAAAGCATGGTGAAAATTTTGATGTTACAAAACATATTAGGCTAGTTCCTCCTTTTCAAGAAACAAATTTAGAAAAATACTTTCTACATTTTGAAAAGGTAGAGGAAAGTCTTAAGTGGCCTAAGGAGTATTGGGCAATGTTATTGCAGAGTGTGTTACTAGGTAAGGCTCGAGAAATTTACACGCAGTTAACTGTAGAGCAAGCTTCGAATTATGATACTGTTAAAGAGCTTATTCGTAAGGGGTACGAATTAGTTCTTGAAGCTTACCGTAAAAAGTTCAGAAAATGTCTAAGAATGAGTAATCAAACTTATATAGAATTTGCTAGAACTAAGGAACAGTTATTTGATCGTTGGTGTTCTTTACAGAAAGTAGATAAAGATCATGATAGATTAAGGCAAGTGGTTTTAATTGAGGAGTTTAAGAGGTGCATTCACAGTGATGTCCGCACTTTTATTAATGAACAAAAAGCCGAAACGTTGGAGGAAGCCGCACGATTGGCAGATGATTACTCCTTAACCCACAAGTTTGTCTTCGAGGAAAAACCCAGCGGGTTCACGTCTTCTCAAGGCCAGAACTTGCCAACCGCGTTGAGAAACCCTCAGAAGGAGAACCCAAACCAAAGGCAGACGTATCGTAGCAGTTCGCGCCCGAGTTCCACGTCATTTATCCAGAACAAGCCGGAGGTGGCAAGAAAACCTTTTAAGTCGATAACGTGTTATTACTGCAGGAGAGAGGGACATTTGATGTCAGAATGTCCTGAAAAGCTGAAAACGAGAAGACAACAAGGTCATCCAGATTCCAAGCCTACTGGTTTTATTGCTGCCTCACGTCTGACACCTGTGACAAGAGAAGATTTCAAAATGGGAATTCCTGAAGAAGAACCCTTTTGCCAAGAAGTCAGTTCCACTCGAAGACATGTTATGGAGATGTTTGAGCCCTTTATTCACGAAGGTTCAGTGGCGCTCTCCAGTGATCTGTCTGATGCAGTCTCAGTTAAAATTCTTCGAGATACTGGAGCTTCTCAGTCTCTGCTATTGGCGGAAACCTTGCCCTTTTCTGAGAAGTCATCTACCGGAGCAAGCGTCCTCTTTAAAGGAGTGAACTCCTTTGAATACTCGCCAGTACCACCGCACACTGTTTACTTGTCATCAAATCTGGTGTCTGGTCCTGTTAACGTCGGACTTGGGTCCTCGTTACCTTTCGAGGGAATTCAACTTCTTCTCGGAAGTGATTTGGCTGGGGATAAAGTGGTCATGAATCCTATTGTGACCGACGTGCCTTGTGTAGAGCAGCTGCCTGACCCAGTAGAGAAAGAGATTCCAGATTTGTATCCTGCGTGCGCTGTAACCCGTGCTATGAATAAGAAGAAATTAAGTGATGAAGATAAAGTTGTTGATATAGCATCATCAGCCAAGTTTTCGAAGGAGCTGTCCCAAAGAATGTGTCGAGAACAAAGTCATTAGAAGAAGATGATGATATCAGAAATTTGAGGAAGGATGCTGAACTGAATTCCAGATCACACCTCATAGCTGAGCAACATAGAGATCCAGAGATCTCCCCATTATTCCAGAGGGAAGTTAATGAAAATGAAGTTTCACAGAATCCCGTTTGTTTCTTCACAAATAACGGAGTTTTGATGAGAAAATGGAGACCACCAGATGTTCCAGCTGACGATGAGTGGGCTGTCAAGTACCAGATAGTTGTCCCGAAAGCCTACACACCAGAAAACTCTCAGCATGGCACATGAAACCCCCTTAGCCGGTCACATGGGCGTCAACAAGACCCAACAAAGAATTTTGATACGTATCATGCACGATCCTCGCAGTAGATAGCGCTATTTAAGCAATAGCGAAAATCAGACCTGAAAAAAATCAGGCCTGTACGGGACTCGAACCACTGACCTCTGCGATACTAGTGCAGCGCTCTACCAATTGAGCTAACAAGCCAACTGGGAGCAGGCCGTTAAGTTGACTCGTAATAAACCCGTGAAAGTGATAAATCAGATACAATGAAATATATGAGGTTCATATATTTTGAACTGCAATATTAGATACGTATGATGCACGATCCTCGCAGTGGCTGAGTTTTGCAGGTCATGTCACGCTTGTCAAGTAGTAGGGAAGTCAAATCAAACCATTCCAAAGGCACCACTACAGCCAATCCCAGCAATCAAGGAGCCCTTCAGCCATATTATTGTTGATTGCGTTGGTCCATTACCAAAGACGAAATCTGGAAACCAATACCTGCTGACAATCATGTGTGCATCTACCAGGTTTCCCGAAGCACTACCCTTGAGAAATATCAAGACAAAGACCATTGTTAAAGCCTTAACCAAGTTCTTCTCGCTGGTTGGTCTTCCTAACTCAATCCAGTCAGACCAAGGTTCAAATTTTATGGCGGGCATATTTCAGCAAGTCATGAATAAAATTGGGAGACACAATACAAATCTTCTGCTTATCATCCAGAAAGTCAAGGAGCTCTTGAGAGATGGCATCAGACGCTGAAGAACACGATGAAGATCTACAGTTTCGAGACTGAGAGAGATTGGGACGAGGGAATCCATTTGCTGTCATTTGCTGCTCGAGAGTCGGTTCAGGAGTCTCTGGGCTTCAGCCCATTTGAGCTTGTTTTTGGCCACACTGTTAGGGGACCTCTTAAACTTCTTAAAGAGAAATTCTTATCTAGTGAAAGCCATACTATTAATCTATTACAGTATGTCTCAGATTTCCGAACTAAGCTTAACAAAGCTTGCGAATTAGCTAGAGCTAATCCTAAGTTGTCTGAGAAGTCTATGAAAGAGAGGTATGATATAAACACTTCTGAGCGTTGTTTTGACCCATGTCAAAAGGTTTTAGCGTTGTTACCAGTTCCTGCTAACCCTTTACATGCCAGGTATTTTGGGCCTTACGTAATTAAGGAGAAACTAAGTAGTCTCAATTACGTTCTAGAAACGCCTGATAGGCGTAAGCAAACGCCGTTGTGTCATGTGAATACGATAAAGCCTTATATTGAAAGAGACAGTGGCCTAAAGATACACCCAGTTAGTCTTAATGTGGTTAGTTTTGAGCCAGAAGAAACTTTAAGTAGAGACCTTAATAGTAAGTTAAGTCCACTAGCCAAAGCAAAGCTTTCCAACTATGATGTTCTGCGGGATTTGGACTCCAAGTTGTCCCATCTGTCTTCAATACAGAGTCAGGATCTTACGGATCTTCTCCAGGAGTTCAAGCACCTGTTTCCCGATGTAGCAACGAGTACAGAACAGATTTACCACGATGTGGATGTAGGTGATGCTTCCCCTGTGAAACAACATCCCTACAGGCTGAATCCTATGAAGCAGAAATATCTCAAAGAAAAAATACAATTTTCATTGGAGAACGATTTGATTGAGCCAAGTCACAGCAGCTGGAGTTCACCTTGCATTTTGGTGCCAAAGCCAGACGGTAGTTACAGAATGTGTACGGACTACCAAAAAGTGAACCGTGTTAGTAATTCAGACACTTTTCCAATACCACGCATGGATGACTATATTGACAAAGTGGGAAATGCAAGGTACGTCACCAAGTTTGACTTACTTAAGGGTTTTTGGCAAGTTCCGCTCACTGAACGAGCAAAAGAGATTTCAGCTTTTGTAACCCCGGATGGACTGTACCAATATAAGGTTATGCCTTTTGGTATGAAGAACTCGCCAGCCACTTTTCAGCACCTTATCAATAAAGTTATTGCTGGCCTTCACGGATGCGAAGCGTACATCGATGATGTTATTATCTACAGTAATACCTGGGAGGAACATTTGAAAATCATCCGAAAGTTTTTTGAGAGACTAACTGAAGCAAAGCTCACTATTAACTCCGCCAAGAGTGAATTTGCACAAGCGCAAGTAACCTACTTAGGGCACGTGGTTGGACAAGGGAAAGTAAAACCAGTCGATGCCAAGATCAGTGTTATTTCTAAATTCCGCGACCAGAAAACAAGAAACAACTTATGCGTTTTCTCGGAATGGCAGGATATTATAGAAAGTTCTGCCCAAACTTCTCTGCAGTCGCTGAACCTCTGACTCGATTACTAAACAAGAGAAAAACGTTTATGTGGTGCGACGCATGTCACAAAGCATTTCAGGAACTAAAAGCGTTACTGAACAGCGCCCCTGTGTTGGCAGCTCCCGACTTCAATGCCCCGTTCAAGTTAGCTGTAGACGCAAGTGATGTTGCTGCTGGTGCTGTGCTTTTACAAGATGATAAAGATGGCGTAGATCATCCTGTTTGCTACTTCTCAAAAAAATTTAGGAAAAGCCAGAGAAATTACTCTACCGTTGAAAAAGAATGTTTGGCATTAGTGTTAGCCCTCCTGCATTTCGAAGTTTACGTCAATTCTTGGAGTCTACTGATCAAAGTTTTCAGTGATCATGTTACTGCCAAAAGGCGTGTCCTTTCGTGGCCGCTTACAGCAGCGATTTAAAACGCTCGATAGAGGAAGAGGCTTGAACTAATAAAGAACCAACAAAAATACAAGTTTACAAAATGCAGAAATATAAAACTGAAAGGTGGCTAAAGCGAACGTGATGAACATAATAACTAAGAACTTACATTGTATCGGCGCTGTAGGCCGCGAAAAAAGGGCAACTAAACCAGATGTTCTCTCGGTGAAATCAACGATGAAACTAAAAAGCTAGAATATTACAACATGTAAATTATAGCGAGGGCGGGAAAGGAAAACATAACGTATTCCCGAGCGAATGCCAATAAACTGAAATAGAATGCAAAGAATGCTAACTTCTACATCCCGGCCCCTAGGTGCGAGATTGTACTAAGCGACTTACATCTAATGAATTACAATAAACTAATGCTAAACCTTAAGTATCAGTGCACTCCAAGAAGTCTACTTTGAACAAGGCTAATTGAAGGCTAAGTACAAATTAACTAAATGTTTCTCAGGGCATTCGTTTTCAACCAAAAGACAGAGCTTGTCGATGGGTCTTTCGTAGACAGCTGTCTTGGCGAACACTTTTACCCGGCGAACAAAGCCTCTTTTGTCGGGGAAGGCTTCAACAACTCTGCCAAGCGGCCAGGATTTGCGATGCGACTCAGATGCGACCCGAACGATATCACCAACGGCCAAGTTCCTCTCTGGGTGCACCCACTTTTGTTTAAGTTGCAAAAGGGGAAGGTATTCCCTACTCCATCTCTTCCAGAAGATGTCTGCTAAATATTGTACTTGCTTCCATCGACGACGAGACAGAGAATCTTCTCTCTTGAATAGACTGGGGGGGTAAGGAGACTTCCGATTTGAGCAACAACAAGTGGTTAGGCGTCAAGGGCTCATTGTCGTTCGGATCACTGGATAGGGTGGTAATGGGTCAGCTGTTCATGACACTCTCCACTTCGCACATTAAGGTGGCCAGGCTCTCGTCGTCCGTAGTTTGCTCTCGCAGCAGCGCTTGTAGAATCTTCCGAACGGTTCGGATGCATCTCTCCCAAATACCTCCAAAGTGGGAACCATAAAGAGGATTGAAGTACCATTTGATGTCCTTTTGTAACAGGGAATTGTGTATCTTTTCCTGATTCCAATCTGAAATAGCGTCACGCAGCTCCTTCTCACCACCAATTAAGTTTGACCCGTTATCCGAATAGATCTGCCTCACTTGGCCTCTTCTTGCAATGAAACGTCGCAAAGCCGATAGGAACGAGTCCGTACCTAGGCCATGTGCAATTTCGAGGTGCACGGCACGGATTGCTAGACATGTGAAGATCACGCCATACCTCTTCACGAGACTCCGCCCACGACGGACTTGGAATGGGCAAAAATAATCCACACCCACTGATGTAAAAGGTGGCTTCTCGGCCAGCACGCGATCTTCTGGTAAATCGGCCATCTTCTGTTGGCAAAGTGGTGCCTGGCGGCGATGGCAACTGACACACTGCCCCAGAACACTTTTCACAGCTGAACTTCCTTGGGTGATCCAGAATTTCTGCCTAATGGAAGCTAGAACGTGCTCTCTACCGGAATGGCCGCATGCCCTGTGGTAATCGTCGATAGTCACTCTGGTAACGTGATCTTCTTTCGGAAGAATAATCTGGTGCTCTGATTCTGCCGGTAATGATGCTTTACGCAGCCGGCCACCAACGCGCAAAAGCCCATCCATAACGATTGAGTCAAGCTTGTAGAGGCGACTACTCTTCTTAACTGGTTCTTCGGGATGGTTGAACTCCTCGGGGAATGCTCTTCTCTGTAAATGCCTCAGAATTTCTTTCTCTGTTCTCTCAATCTCTTCAAGGGTGATTTAATTCGGAATATCGCGGTTTAAACCTTTGTTTTTACTCGCATTCAGAAGTCTTTCCCGATAGCGCAGGAGCCAGGCAACAGTTTTCTTTAGGCGCAACCAGGAAGAACATTTCTGGAAATAACGCAACAGTGAATAGCTTTGCTTGACTAGGAGGATATGCACACCTCAACATCCGTTTTTACTTCAGGATCTCCATCGAGTACGTTGTTAAATGCTTCGGTCTGCATTAGCCACATGTGTTTGGGCTTCCAAAGGTATTCCGGCCCCATTAAGCAACGCCGCTGACTAATGAAGACGTCGGCTGTCAATCCTCGAGGGACGTCGTCGGCGGGATTCATGTCGCCACTCACATGGTTCCACTGATGGGGTTCAGGGCCATCACGAATGGCGACACGAATGGCTACAAAAGTGTGGAATCGCCTTGTTTCGTTCTTCACGTAACGTAATACTGCAGTGCTATCTGTCCAGAAGACGGACTGACAACTAATCGGTATCTCTAATTCTCTCTTCAGGACCTTGTCCTGCTTGACGGAGATTGCTGCGGCAGACAACTCAAGGCGCGGGATCGTAATTGTCTTTAGGGGCGCCACACGTGACTTGGCACAGAAAAGAACAGTGAACGGCACCCTCGCCATTAACAAGACGCAGGTAGGAAATCGATCCGAAACCGCTCTCTGAGGCATCAGAGAAATGGTACAGCTGGCTTGAAGAGATGTAGTCGAAACCGGCTGGCTTAACACAGCGATCGACAGAAAATTGCGATAGTTTAGGAAGATCAGCCATCCATCGCTCCCAGCGTGCCCTGTGCTCTTGAGGAATAGGATCATCCCAATCCAGCTTGACTCGACATAGGTCCTGAAGCAACCGTTTGGCCGGTAACACGCCATCCATCGCTCCCAGCGTGCCCTGTGCTCTTGAGGAAGAGGATTATCCGAATCCAGCTTGACTCGACATAGGTCCAGAAGCAACCGTTTGGCCGGTAACACGAAGGGTGCGGCAAGGCCGAGGGGATCGTAAACAGAACCGACAATCGAAAGAGTTCCTCGCCGTGTGGGCAGTTTGAGCTTAATATCCACTTTGAATCCAAAGGCGTCTGTCTCCACGCACCATTTAACACCAAGAGCTCTCTCATCCCTACTAAGGTCAAGACTTTTCACTTCTTTGGTGCGCTCGGTCTCGAGGATGGTTTCGAGAACCCTGCGACTATTGCTGATCCACTTTGTCAGCCTAAACCCGCCTTTTGAGAGTAGTAACCGTAGGTCCCTCATGTGCTGTGAAGCCTCTTCGACTGAAGGTAGGGCCTTGAGACAATCATCTACGTAAAAGTTGTTTTTGACCGTGTTCAGAACTGCCTCTGGGAAATATTGGCTGTTGTCTTCAGCTGTCTTGCGCAAGGCAAAGTTCGAACACGATGGAGACGAGGCTGCACCGAACAGGTGTACAACCATTTGGTACTCCTCGAGGCTACTCTCCAAGTTGCCATCGCGCCACCAGAGGAAGCGAAGTAGGAGCAGTCCGCCTCAGATACCCTGACTTGGTAAAACATCGATTCGATGTCCACCATGAGCGCCATCCTCTCCTGTCGAAATCTCGTTAGGACTCCAAATAGATTGTTCGTCAAATCTGGGCCCTTGAGCAGCAGGTCGTTAAGAGACGTGCCTTGATATGTAGCCGAACAGTCGAAGACGACGCGAATTTTGCCGGGCTTGTGCTGGTGGTAAACTCAATGATGCGGAATGTACCATTTCATGCCACTGGGGTCCTGGAGATCCGCTGGGACCTTTCGGGCGTAACCCTTTTCAATAATGTTTGCCATGAAACACTTATAGTCGTTGTACAAGTCCTTGTTACACTGAAGTTTCCTCCTTAGCCAGTGAGCGCGTTGTTCGACCTGCGGTTTGTTGTTCGGGGCTGGTACTTCACGATCTTTCAAAGGTAACGCCATTTAATAGTGACCATCTCTCAAGAATATGGTACGCTCCAACTCGCTGAGGAAACGAAGCTCTTCTTGTGACATTTCAGGTTTGTCATCAGCGCTGTATTCACTGAAACCACTGTCGTAAAAATTCTTCACCATCTGATGAAATTCAGGGTCAGCCTTGGTAAGGTAACTGGCAGCGCGTGTACCCTTGCGAAAGTGCCCTAAAGGACCGTTAACCACCCATCCCATACTTGTTCGGGAAGCATAGGGACCGCCGTTTTGACTGTGCTTCACTTCCAAAGGATCAAAGACTGTGGGAACATCACAGGCTACGAGGAAGCCTATTTCGGCATCAACTTCAGGTAGGTATACTCCGCACAAGTGTGGCCACTAGTCAATGTCACCCTGAGTGGGTATGTCCTCCTTTGAAACGGGTATTTCTGGTCTCCTATAAAGTGCTGGCAGCTCGATAAACACATTTTCGTCCAAATCCGAGATGACAAGACCTTTCACAACGAAGCTGTCAATAAGACTGTCTTTCTTTTCCAAAGTTTTTAGGGAAATCTGAGTTCGGGTACCATTGACCCCCAGCTGTCTCATCAAGGACTCTGTGCAAAATAAGGAGGAGCTACCGCTGTCCAAAAATGCGTAGGTAATCACAGGAGGACCTGTGGATTTAAACCAAACTTTGACTGGAACCGCAGCCGTGTCTATTCTTGAGCGGTCTAGATTAACCATTCCGTTACGAATGCGAGGGGACTCCTCCTGCGGTGAGGTACTAGCGGAAGGAATGCCAGATGGTCGAATCCTTGGCGCAGTGTTCGTATGAAGAGTTGTTGGATGTTTCTCCGTGCAGTTGGCAACCGTAAATGTTTTCTTTTCCGGGCATTCCTTCAACATATGATTGGAGGACAAACAACCAAAACAGAGGCGCTTTAATCTCAAGAACCGAATCCGTTCTGGATACGGGAGGCGTCTAAGGGCTTCGCAGGCGTCTAGGGCGTGCCCAGAATTGCTGAAGGAACATAAGGCGTCCTCGGTGGGAGGCGTTGATCCAGAGGGTGGCGCACGAAGAGGTGGGCTCTGAAGATCTCCTGCTTGCGTAGCAAGACTTGTTCTACCTCTACCGGATCTATTCTGCTTATCCCTTCGTTCATTCTTGGGCTTTGTGTCTTCAGTAATCTTTCCGAATACGGGATTGGCGATTACCCTTGCTTCATTATCTACGAATTCGGCAAGGTCGTTGAACGTAACAGATCTTCACTCAGTTTCTATTACGTTATCGGCTAAACGGCTCCACGTTGTTCGTAAATTGAATGGCAACTTCATGACGAGCTTTTGTATGGTGCCAGGCTGCTCGAGCTTGGTCCGGTATTTGCTGCATTTCATTGCGTTTTTGCATCTCATGAGAAAGATGGAGCACCTGTCCAGAGAGGCACTGTCCTCAGCTCTCACTTCGGGCCAGTTTAACGCTTTGGTTTCATAGGCAGTCACAATGCGATAATCGTCACCAAATTTCTTCTCTATCAGCCATCGGGCTTCCTGATAACCCCTTTCAGGTGGAAGGTGATGGCACGATCTAACTAGTTCTTTAACATCGCCACTAGTAAACTGTTCAAGGTAATACAACCTCTCAGTACCACTCGAGGTTCTAGACTCAATGAGGTTTTCAAAGGCTCTCACAAAGGCGCCATAGTCCATTGGATCACCATCGAAGATAGGAACCCTTTGCTGGGGAAGACTGCTTTTCTTCTGCTGAGTCGCAAGTATTTCCACGATTTTGTTCTGCTGTTGTTGCAGCGCGTTTTGACGGTGATGCAGCCCTAGAATTTCGTGCAAGGCCCTCTCACTTGGTGATGTCGACGCACCAGAGTATTCATACTCGTTAGCACGTTCATTCCTGTTAATTCCTAGCGAAGGCTGATGCCATTCTGCTGCTTCGGGATTTAGAGTAGAACAACCAACAGCGACTGATGAATGACCATTCTCTCCAACCTGCTTTGCTTCAAGTCCGATAATAGGTGCTTGAACCTTTCCCTCACCCTTCTTGGATTCTAGGTTTATCGGATTCGGCACAAATGGACTCGGAACAGCTTCCATGACTGAAGATAAAACTCTTTCTTTAGCTTTAGACTTAGCGAGCTCGGTTTCAAGTGTAAGACGTTCCTGTTCTTGCTGCAAACGTAGCCTTTGCTCATCTAACAATCTTCGTTTCTCTAGTGCAGCCGCCTCCGCTTGGAGATCAGCAGTACGCGCCGCTTCCTTTGCTCGTGCGAACGCTAAGGATGACGAACTACTCCTGTTTGAACCGCTGTGACTCGAACGTCGTGATTTCTTTGACGAGGACTTAGTTGTGGCCCGAGAACCGATCTGACTCGCTGAATCTTCAGGATTGACCTGAGAGTTCAACCTGAGAAGCTCCTCTGATCCTTTGATCCACTGTTGAGTTCTCTGATAAGAGAGGTCGGCCCGCGAAGACTCTGAATTTAACTGCTCTTGACATCTTGGTACGCTAACGTCATCCTGAAGATTCGACGAATAGGCTAGATGAGCTTCTTTAAACCTTTCAACAGCAGCTAGGAAGCCGGGAAACTTTTCCTTTACGAGATGAACGTTTTCCTCGCTGGATAACAGCGCATCAATTTCATCTCTCCTAGCGCTAACTGTAGAAAGATAGCCTGATCTCTCATTCTTGAGTCGGCGAAGCCTTTCGAGGAGAACGCCTTCTTGATCCAGTTGTTTACTCGGCATCCTAGGTCGAACGCCATCCCCATCACCAGAATCTAAAGCTTTATCAGCGCCAATATCCATTATCTCCTCATGCCAACTCGACAATTTCAAATTATGTTACTGCCAAGAGGCGTGTCCTTTCGTGGCCGCTTACAGCAATGATTCCAAACGCTCGATAGAGGAAGAGGTTTGAACTAGTAAAGAACCA